AAAATCGAGTCAAAACTTACAAAATCAATAAATAATGAGGCTAATGAGACTAATGTAACTGCAACTAATGAGACTAATGTGACTGCAACTAATGAGACTAATGTTACTGCAAATAATGACACTGCAAAAAAAGTTCAAAGAAAAAGTTTTATTGAAAAGTTGGTCAGTTTTATAAGTCCTACAAAAGAAAATTCGAATTCAAATGATGATACCAATACCGATGATTCTTCCAAAAGTAAATCTGTTGATACTTCTAATGTTATATCCGAAAATGTTAATGTTGACGTAACTAAAAGTAAGGCTGAAAATGATCAACATTTAACGGAACAATTACAACATTTAGATGACTATGTAAAATCTTATGATCTTTTGAATCCAAGATATAATCCTGCGCATTTTGAAGAGTTATTATCTGAACATTTTAAAGATATTAAACTCAAGGATACTGCAAACAATGTGGGTGTAATCATTACTGCTTTTAATATCTCCACCTGTGAACGCACTTTTTTTACAAATCTAAACAATAAGAATGATGATGTTTTCATGAAAGATGTTATACGCGCAAGTGCTTCTGCTCCTACTTATTTTCCTGCCAAAGAAATATCTTCTAAATATTTTGTAGATGGTGGTGTTTTTATGAATAATCCAACCGCTAGAGCATATCTCGAAGCAAGGAGAGCGTCTCCAAATTCGAAATTTGTGATTGTTTCCCTTGGTACCGGTCACTACCCAATAACTTTAGAGAATCATAAAAATGCCGGTGTTATTCAATGGGTCTCTCCCTTAATTAACCTTTTGATGAATAATGAACTTGGAAATCATGATGATTCTATGAAAATTTTGGCTGAATTGGATGGTGCAAAATACTATAGAATTCAACCCACATTAAAGGAAGACATAACTTTAGCTGACACCGCTGATGAATCTGTTCAAAAACTTATTTCAGTAAGCGATGAGGTTGTAAAAGATTCTAATTTTAGGTTGGATGAAATAGTTAATTTACTCGTTGATAAAATTAGAAAAAAGAACAATACACCTGCTGCATAATATATATATATACTTAGTTATATAAATGTAGTTAATACTTGCTCATTTATTTTGTTAGGTCATGTATCAATGTTTTATAGTTTATAAGAACCATATGTTTATTAGTCTTGTTTTTTCATTCGAGTTTGTAACCAATTTATTGTCATTTAATATATATAAATAAATAAATAGGTTATATTGTCTATGTATTTTTAATATACCCAGTGCAAGATAAACCTAATATATATCTTTCATATTGGCGAAATGTTTAAAATCTTCCTAGTTACCCACCCGTTTAAAAAATCATTACCGGGTTATAAACTTAGCCATTTCTAATAATAATAATCCGAGTGACCCGGTTGACTTGGTTAAGAAATCTTAACGATAATAATAATTAATGATCACTTAAATCAATCATAACAAACTTTATCTTTTTTCCATGATTTACATAATTAAATTATTCTGGCCCATTTTTTTTAATATCATCTAGTTTATTCAGTCACTTTAGTCTCATTAGTTGCAGTTACATTAGTCTCATTAGCCTCATTATTTATTGATTTTGTAAGTTTTGACTCGATTTT